AAGCATTTTCCCCACTACTGAACTTAAGCTAACTGGCCTATAGTTACCTGCTTTTTGTCTACTTCCTTTTTTAAACAGTGGTGTCACATTGGTTGTTTTCCAATCTGTGGGAACCACCCCAGAGTCCAGGGAATTTTGGTAAATAATTACTAGTGCATTTGCTATTTCCCCCATCACCTCTTTTAGTACCCTGGGATGCATTTCATCAGGGCCAGGAGACTTGTCTACCTTTAGCCCCATTAGCTTGCCTAGCACTGCCTCCTTAGTGATGATGATAGTTTCTAGGTCCTCACCTGCTATAACCTCCTTGCCATTAGTTTTCGACATGTTATTTGTGTCTTCCACAGTGAAGACCAACATAAAATAACTGTTTAATGTCTCAGCTATTTCCTCATTCCCAGTTATTAAATTGGCCTTCTCATCCTCTAAAGGACCAATGTTTACCTTCGCCACTCTTTTACGATTTACATATTTATAGAAACTTTTGCTGCCTGTTTTTATATTCTGAGCTAGTTTACTCTATAATCTATCTTACTTTTCTTTATAACTTTTTTTGTGGCTTTCTGTTGGCCTTTAAAGATTTCCCAGTCTGCTAGTTTCCCACTACTCTTTGCTTTTTTGTATGTGTTTTTTTTCAAACTGCTACTTTCCTTTATTTCCTTAGACATCCATGGCTGATTATCTCTTTTCCTACAGTTCTTCCTTATCACTGGAATATACTTCTGCTGAGCACTGTGAAAAATCGTTTTGAAAGTCCTCCACTGTTCTTCAATTGACCCACCATAAAGTTTTTGCTCCCATTCTACCTTAGCTAACTCCTCCCTCATTCCTTCATAGTCTCCTTTGTTTAAGCACAGGACATAGGTACTGGATTTAACCTTCTCACGCTCCATCTGTATTTTAAATTTGACCATACTGTGATCACTCCTTCCGAGAGGATCCCTAACTGTGAGATCATTAATTATTCCTGTCTCATTACACAGGACTAGATCTAGGATAGCTTGCTCCCTCACAGGTTCCATTACATATTGTTCAAGGAAATTATCATGGATGCATTCTATGAACCCCTCCTCAAGGCTGCCATGACCGACCTGGTTTGACCAATTGATATGTAGATTAAAACTCCTCATGATAATTGCGGTACCACTTTTACATGCATTAGCTATTTCTATGTTTATTGCCCGCCCCACCACGATGTCATTATTTGGTGGCCTATAGACCACACCTGTCAGTGACTTCTTCTCCCTGCTATTCCTAATTTCCACCCAAATGGATTCAATATTTTGTTCAGTAGAACCTATATCATCTCTCACTACTGCCCTGATATCATCCTTAAAAATCAGAGCAACACCACCTCGCTTACCTTCCTGTCTGTCCTTCCGAGCAGTTTGATACCCCTATTTAATCGCTCCTATTCACAAACACCAGCCTAAAGGGAAGATATTTTTTCCCAGACCTCTTTTACCAACTCAAATTGTAATGAGAGTGTTTCAAGGATTGTCTAATTCAGGTTGATTGTTTTAATTTTAAAAAATTGAGGTGTCTTTGATCAGGAAAAGATATTTCATATTCCAAATACCGCAACTGCAGAGCATTACAAAATAAACAAGCCTTGGAAGCTTTCATTTATCACCTACAATAAGTCTATCATTTGGGTTCAAATGCAAATTTGGACTTACAGAGTCATATAAACAGGCCATTTAGCCTACTATATCCACGCTGACCAACAAGAACCAAAGTATATTAATCTCATTTACCTGACTTGGTCCATAGCCTACTATGCCCTTGCATATAAGTGCTCATCCAGATGCTTCCTAAATGATGCAAGAGTACTTGCCTTCACCACCCTCCAGATGAAAAAAAAATCCTCAAATCTCCTCTAAGCCAGTTACTCCCTAAACTTATGCCCTCTGGTCTGAGACACATTTGCCATAGGGAAAAGATTCTCAGAATCTACTCTGTCTGTGTCTCTCATAATCCTGTGTATCTCAATCAGATCTTCGTCAGCCTCCCCTGTTCCAAAAAAAAAACATTTTGTGGAGGTGCCGGTGTTGGATTGAGGTGGACAAAGTCAGAAGTCACACGACACCAGGTTATAGTCCAACAGGTTTATTTAAAATCACAAGCTTTTGGAGGAACTAGTACCTGATGAAGGAGCAGTGCTATGAAAGCTTGTGATTTTAAATAAACCTGTTGGACTATAACCAAAGCAAACAAATCCAGCCTATCCAGGCCCTCCTCATAACTGAGATTTTCCGTCTCAGGCAATATCCTGGTGAATCTCCTCTACACCCTTTCCTATGCAATCACATCCTTCCGGCAGTGTGGTGACCAGAACTGCACAGAGTATTCCATTTGTGGCCTAGCCAATGTTTTATAAAGTTATATATTATACATAAAGTTTATAAAGGCAAGCATCCCATATGCCTTCTTGATCACCTTGTCTACCCTGTTGATACCTTTAGGGATCTGTGGACTTGTACTCCAAAATCCCTTTGGTTCCCCCCAAAATTCATCACCTCACATTTATCAGGATTAAATTTCATCTGCCATTGTTCTGCCCAGTGTACCAGCTGGTCAAATTAGAGTATAACCTGAGACCATTCTCTACACTATCAACAACACCACTGCAAACTTAGTAATTATGCCTTATACAATCACATTCAAGTTGTTCATGTACATAACAAACAGCAAGAGTCCCAGTGCCGATCCCTGTGGTACACTGCTGGTCACAGTCTTCCAATTACAAACACAACCCTCTATCTTATCCTTTGCGTACTATTTGGAAGCCAATTTTGGAGCCTCTTGATACATCTTACTTTTTCTACACAACACACATTTCTGCTTAGCTTTGCATCATCTGCAAATTTTAAATTGGTCCCTACGTCCAGATCATTGATATAAATTGTGACTTGTGCAATCCTGTTGACTGATTAAGGACGAGATAAACCTGGACTATTTGAATCGGAGTTTTATCTTTAACAGGGAATTAAAACTGTTGGTACTGGACTTGCCATTCTGTGTATGTCCAGTCCAATCTTCCTCTTCATTAACTTTGTTTCAATTGCAAAATAATCTGGTACGGGTGAGCTGAGTTTTCCTCCATATTAAATCACATTTACTGTTGCTCTATTCATGGAACACATAAATGGCTAGTTTCAGAGGATCACCTCTGTGCTTCAAAAGATGCGCTTATTGAGCTTTTACATTTTTTTACAGGTTTCAAATAAAATAAAAAGTGAATGTCTAAATTGATGAGAAAATATATTTACATAGAATAGTTTGCTATTATAAATTCTAATGAAGATTGAATTTGAATGATATTCTTCATTGTGTTACAGCAAATCCACAAAGAGCAGCTAAATTATTTAGTGCCATTGGACCTTACTTAAAACAATCATTTGCTGCTGGCACTGTGTGCCATGTTGTTAGTGTAAGGGTTCAAATGACAAATTTAAAGTAAATGATATGCACTTACACATTTTCTTTGTTTTGTCAGAAGAGATAAGACTTGCAGAAATGTGGAGATTTTGTTTTGATGGCTCAGTAGATTGTTGATTACTTATGTTTAGTTATATTAACTAGTTACCACAACATTGCTGCAAAAGTGTGAGGCTATTCTTTATTTCTGTAATTTAAACTGCGGTAAAATGTACCTTTATGTAAATCATTACTCAACAACTAATTTGTGTTCATGTATCATAATGTAGAATAGCTTCCCTAAACACATGAAGAAGAATCTGTTAATTGTTTATAATGTATATGGGTGTGAATTGTGAATTTCTTAGCGACTGTGTGAGGCTGAAATGGGCTATTTACAATCTTGAGCTTACGAAACCAAATGCTGTAAGTCACCAAGACCATCTACTTGCATTTCTATAAAGTTGCCCACTTCTGCAACTAAGTCCAGTTACCAGAACCAAAATTCATGCCTTTGTTACCTCAAGACTTGACAATTCCAATGCTCTCCTGGCTATGACCCTTCTGGAAGTCTGTCTGCAAACCTCCTAGAATTGCTTTAAGATATTTCATTGTGTTAAAGGTGCAATAAATGCAAGTTATCATTTCCAGAAGTGGCTGTATGGTGCAATTGATGTGCTGTGAGGTTGTGAATAAGTTACTAATTACCATGCCAACTATTTTTCTGTTTTAATTCAGACCACAAGCATTCTTCCCGTAATGTAAAAATTGGAGATAAAATTTATCTCAGATTGCACTAACACTTTGCCAATAAAAATTGATCTGAACCAGATACTGATGTTTCTTTTTATAATATCACTTTTTTTTATAAAGCCGCATTATTTCTTCCAATATGAAATAAGTAAGCAAAATGATAGCAAGAAATGTTCATTAAGGGGAGTCAATGGTGTATCAGTAAAGTCACTGCAGTGGTTATGCAGAGACCCAAGCTAATGTCCTGGAGGCACAAGTTCACTTCCCATGGTAGCTAGTAGAATTTGAATGTGATTAATAAAGTTTGGAATTGGAAGTTAGTCTCAGTAATGGCAACTGTGAAACTATCATCAGTTATTGTAAAAATTCATCTTTTTTCTAATGTCCTTCAGGAAAGGAAGTTTGCTATCCTTACTTGGTCTGGTTGGCACTTGACTCCAGACTAGAGTATCGTAGTTGACTGTCCTCTAAAATAGCCCTAGCAAACCATTCCATTCAAGGGCAATTAGGAATTAGGCAATTAGCAACAAACGCTGATCTTGCCAGTGATGCCCCCATCTCATAAACAAATAAATTAATTACAGTTCTGCCTTTTGTATTTAATAAAATTTGAATTATTAATTACATACTTGAAAAACTGATTAAAATTATGTTGGGTAGAAGTTATATCAACTGTTGATCCATGCATTTATAGGAAACACATCAACTTTAGCTTTGGGTCAACAGTTCTGTGCTTTTTGAAGTCATCTAAAAAAGTTTGTAAATGTGAGTTTGAAAGCTAGCATAATGATACAAGCTGACTCATTCATTACAAATCTTTTTTTTAGCTTAAAGGGGAGGATACTGGTGATTTTGAAGCCACATCTGCTGCAGCCCGATTACTGGCTACAGAAACAAACAAAACAGTATATGTTGCAGTCAAGGATGATGATTTTCCAGAAGCAGACGAAACTTTCATATTTTACCTAAGGCTGCAGGTATCTCCATTTTGCTATCAAATTCATAGTAAGTAAAGTAGGATGATTTCATGTTCGGTAAATACTTCATAAAATGTCCTCCATGTGTTTAAGTTATATGTATCGCAGGTGCAAAAAAAAATCAATGTTTATTAAGAGTAAATGAGAGCCATTGTGCACATCATAGAACATATAACATAGCATAGTACTGCACAGGATTGACCCTTTTGGCCCACAATATTGTGCCGAACATGACACCAAATTAAACTAATCCCTTCTGCCTGCCCTTGGTCCATATCCCTCCGTTCCTTGCATATTCATATGTTTTTCTAAAAGTCCCTTAAATGCCCCTATCGTACCTGCCTCCATCACCACTCCAGCAGCACATTCCAGACTCCTACACTCTCTGTGTAAACAACCTGCCCCTCACATCTCTTTTGAACTTTCCCCTTCCCACCTTAAATGCATGCACCCTTGTACAAGACATTTCAACTCTGGGAAAAAAGATTCTGACTGTCAACCTTATCTATGCATCTCATAATTTTATAGACTTCTATCAAGTCTCCCCTGAGCCTCCGCTGCTCAAGAGAAAACAGCCTCAGTTTTTCTAGCCTCTTCTTGTAGCTCATATGCTCTAATCCAAGCAGCATCCTGGTAAACCTCTTCTGCACCCTATCCAAAGCCCCCACATCCTTCCTGTAATGTGGCCACCAGAATTGAGCACGATACTCTAAGTGTGGCCTAACTAAAGTCTTATAAAATTGCAACATGACATCCGGAAATCTTGTACTCAATTCCCCGACCAATAAAGGCAAGCATGCCATACGCCTTCTTTACTACCCGATCTAGTTGTGTAGCTATTTTCAGGGACTATGGACTTGAACCCCAAGATCCCTTTGTACATCAATTCAAAGTCCTGCCATTAACTGTATACTTTTTCTAAATATTTGATCTCCCAAAGTGCAGCACCTCAAACTTGACCAGATTAAACTTCATTTGCCATTTCTCTGCCTACATCTGCAACTGATCTATATCCCGCTGTATCCTTTGACAACCATTTACACTATTCACAGCTCCACTGATTTTTGTATTGACTGCAAACTTACTAACCCACCTACCTACATTTTCATTCAAGTCATCGGTGTTTCTTTTGTGTCAGGTACGACTTCAGCCAGTGGAGATTTTCCCCAATTCCCATTCACTTAAATATTACTCGGGCTCTTTGATGCCACAGTCAGTCAATAGCTGCCTGATGTCAAGAGTAGTCAGTCTCACCTTGCCTACATTTGAACTACAGCTGTACTGAGGTCAGGAGTTGAATGACCATGGCAGAACTCAAACTGATTGTAAGTCAGCAGGTTATTGCTAAACAAATGCTGTTTGATACCCCTCAATCACTTTATGGATCATTGACAGTGGACTGTTGGGACAGTAATTGCTGGGTTAAATTTGTCCTGCTATCTGTGTACAGAGCATACCGTGGCAATTCTCCACATTGCCAGGTGGATTCCACTGAGTTTAGAGCTTTCAATCTTGCCCTAAAACAAACTATTCTAATTCTCTTCGCTTAAAGTCTTTTTAAACTTTTAAATCCTGTACAATAGTAATGTTGCAGCATTTTCTTCACTTGCAAGTTTTTGAACTCTTATTATAGTGATGCTGTTGTATTTTCCTCTGATTTAAAAAAATACGATGTGGGTGTCACTAGCTGGCCCAGCATTTATTTCCCATCCCTACTTGCCCTTGAGAAGGTGGTGAACCACTGCAATCCATTTGCTGTCAGTAGACCCACAATGCCATAAGGGAGGAAGTTCCAGGACTGTGACCCAGTGACACTAATAAACCTCTAAGCTCTGCCGTCATATACTTAAGGTTCAAATTATTTTTAATAGCAATGCTGTATCTCTGTTGTTACGGGTGATTTTTGTGACTTTTTTTCTGATCAAAATGTTTGTTCTTGAGGTTTTCACTCCTTCAGTCAAGAGAGAAGTTTAACCACATCTCCATGGGAAAAAACCTGCCATTTTCCTGCCTTACACAGCATAAAACACAACATATGTCCCTTACATTATCATTTAACTAAACTTTTGTGGCTGCAAACTTAATCTATTTTCCTGCTGAAATCACAATTTAAATTAGGAAATTCTTGGCTTGTCATAATCTTTAAATACTTCTCACTTTTTTCTGTTTAACTGTTTAAAATACTTTGACTGTTCTTCGTTTCCTTTAAATATCCTTTGTGAATTTTCTGATAACAGAACCTAGGCATAAATTAATATTGTTCATTGCTCTTTCTACCATTTGTCATGAGGCTTGCTTGTAAAGGTGCAACATTCAATTTAAAGGACAAGTGCTCCTTTACCCCTTCTATCCTTTCCAGCCTAATTTTTTTCAATGTTAATTGAAAGATATTCCCTTTCAACTCCTCTTACCACCTCTGATGTAAAGCCTTTCTTCTGGAGTGTCATTTTTGCTCTGTGTGATAGTTGGTTATTTTTGGAACATGATTTTAATGTAATTTTAAAATTTAACGTTTGGTTTTTCAGTCTATGGAGTTCTGAACCTATTTATTTTTGAAGGGAGAGTCAGAAAATCATTTGGAACAGTAAGCTGAAGACAGTCTTTAAAAGAAAGCATATGACCTAAGTTACATGACTATCAAGCTATCTTGTGATGTAATTGCTGCGAGGAACTGTTACAACTTATGCAAGAGACAAATGACCATGGGCTACATGCAGAAAGAAGCAGAAGAAAATAAAGGTCTTTGAAAGGAAGTCTTGAGCTGTTTTAGCAGATGCAAAGTAGTCAAAGTTAGAGGGATTGCCTGTCTGTGGGCTTTTGGTTGGGTTCGTGCTGGTGATTGGAGACAGTATTGGAAGGAACTACAAAAACAAAATTGCTGGAAAAGCTCAGCAGGTCTGGCAGCATCTGTGAAGGAGAAAACAGAGTTAACATTTCGGGTCTGGTGACCCTTCCTCAGAACCTTCGTTAGTTCCATGGAGGGTCTCGTTTCTGCTGACAGCCTGCCACTCTTCCGTGGCTAAGGTCATGCCTGGGTGTCCTTGGAGAGGGAGCACACGGTGTCTATCAATGCTTTTGATGCCTTTACAGAGCAATGGGCACCACGGGAGAGACAGTGCTTAATTTTCCTCTCCAATTCTATTTTGATTTAGTCCCTTCTCTCCCAACCCCCTCTTCATTTATGATGGCTCGCATTAGCCATAATGGGATTTGCATTTAAACTTCCAATTGGCTGCACAGGTGATTACTGGTGGTGGTTAAGTTTAAAAAATAAGAAGTAGAAAAAGACATGGTGATTTGCTTGTGGGAAAGCCATTCATTTGTGAGTGATAACTCATCCAGATATAAATAAATAAAAAAAAAATAAAGCAGAAGGAGAAGGTTCTTGTAGTGAAGAGGTAGTGTCCCTACCTCTGAGCCAGGAGACCAAGGTTCAAGTCCCACCTAGCTTTGGCACATGCTTTTAGTATCTCAAATACACAGTTACATGTGGAGAAATGGTCAGATGGGAGTCCACAAGGAAATTAAAGGGATAGAAAACCTGTGCATGGAAAAGGTATTGGTGCTAGGGAGCAAACAGAAGGGCACCAAAGTAAAGATGAATAATTAGAACCTACAAGTGTTATAAGACTGGACATGCCAAAACCATTTGGTGAAAGTTAACTGGAAGATCTATTGCCGTAATCAGTAAAACTAAAGTTGTCATAGTCCCAGAGAACCATAGAATGCTGTCTCAGAGAGAGTTGACTGATGGTGAGGTTAACATGGGGGCACCATGCAGCAGATGAGGGATAAGGTTGAGAAGGTGGGACCTTCACACTAAATTTAACTGGTGTGGGAATTGAACCTGTGCTGCAGGCTTTGCACCACATCGCAAACCAACTGTCTGTCCAACTAAACTAATGGTGCATCGGGAAAAGAAATGGGTAGTAAAACTATGGCAGTGGTAAAGATGGAGTGTATTGCCTCAGAGCCTACTAGAAAGAAAAACATTATACATGATCATCAAGAAAATTCTTCATTGAATTTTGCTGAAGATAACCAGGTTTAGGACACACCTGATGGGTAAGGGTAACAAGGAAGACAAATTTATGCAGTGCAGCAGGAATTGTTTCTTTGAGCAGAATGTTGCAGAACCAACCTGGGAGCAGACTATCTTAGATCTGGTAATATGTAGTAAGGCAGGATGAATAAGAGATTTCCCAGCTAAAGATGCTTTAGGGAGTAGCGATCACAGCATGATATAATTTCAAATTCAGTTTGAGACAGGGTCTCTCACTGGTGTCCTTAGAGATATGAAGAAAGACTTGTCTGAAGTCAGCTGGTAACATAGACTAAGTAAGAGAATGAGCAGTGGTAGACAGTCACCCAAGGCTGGAATCTAACCCCAGTCTTTAGTGCTGTGAGTGAACAGTGCTAACCACTATGCCACCATTTCTTTGGATGGAAGGGATGCTTCAGTATGATTTGGACAAATTGAGCGAATAGGCAAATACATGGCAGGTGAGGTGTAGTGCAGGTAAATGTGAGGTTATCCACTTTAACAAAATTGCAGGAAGTCAAATTGTTGTCTGAATGATGGACTGGGAAAGGGGAGGTGCAATAAGACCTGGATCATAAGTCTGAAACTGTGTGGAGACAAAATATTTATCATATTTTTTGAAGCTTTGGAAAATATTAAGTACTTAGCAGTGTAAATACAAATTTTAGAGCTTCAATGTTGCATCCAGCCTTGCACATTTTAAATGGATTTACTTCCCCAGTAGTAATTTGGAGAAAAGAATAATGTTAAACATTTGACTTTATATTTATGTCCCTTTTATTGTATATATTAAAGCCAAGAATTACAACATTCTATCCAGATATTTAATGAAGTTAAGGATGTAGATATTTACATGCGTTTTGATGTTTTCTAAGAATGATATAGTGATCAACTTATTTAAAACTGCATTGAAACTTTGCTTTTATATCAAACATTACACAAAGCTTTCTTTTTGTTCATGCAGACACTTAATTTTGCAACTTTCTTTTGTTTAGGCTAGCTTAAAATATCATTTAAATGTTTTGTTATGAGCATGAACTTTTAATCAAAATGTTGAAATTCAGTATCTTAACCTTTGATTCTTGTCAAAGTATGTGCCACATTACTTTTCCAAGAAGCTGTTAAGTAAATGGTTTTGGACAACCTTTTTAATTCTACTGTCCAGCACCTGATATTTACTACAGATTTCAGCTTGAAGATATTTACTAATTAATTTGTAGATTTCAAATAAATGCATTTTTAATAGTTTTTCTCCTTTATCTAACTAATTAACATTGCTCCATGCAGTAGCAAATAAGATCCCACTTACGAGAATGGTCATTGAGTCTAAAATCTTGTAAATTCTCGGTACTGCATAGAAAGATTTCTGTTTTGTTTCATTTGGTTGAAGTGTAAAGTATGATGATCAATAAGAATTTTAGAACAGTGTTTCACAGTCAAGCTTTATTTTACACAATCCCCTGTATGTTACATTGATGCATTTAGTTAAAAGAAAGACATATATGGTGCATCAATCTTCCCACAACCATTCAATTCACTGCATGAATCAAATTGGAGAGAACTTTGACCTGGCTCTGGCTATAGAATTCAGCTTTTTAACATTTTAAGTCAAAGGATAACGTATGAAAGCAAAAGTCTGAAAGGAAACTTCATTTTCAAATAGAGCTGCATACTTTATACCAAGTTTCTTATTGCTATGGTATCATTATCAGGTTGTCAAACCATGATAAATGAGATTTGAAAGACCTCTTTATTAACATGGAGTTTTAATTAATCTGAGGTGCTGAAAGAATTTGCTTTCTGTAAAAGTTATGGATCTTGATTAATTTACATTTTTGAACAAGACTGTGAGCCATCTGCTAATTACAGTAACGTACAGAAAGTATGGGATCTGACTGTTGTATCAAAACAATTTTTGCAAATATATTTTTTGTTTGAATGTTACTTTTACAGTGGACATTACATAAATTGGAATGAAAGTATGGAATGTGATTTACTGTCATAGGGTTGTATAAATTCTTTCAAGTTTAGCCAATATACTTCTTGAAGACAAACATAATCGTATCATTTTTATTACATACATAAAACCTGTATCTTAAATCAGCTCAAGATAACTAATCCAACGAGAATTATGTGTTCAAAGCTTATATATTAAAAAGCAAATAACTATTAGCCCTGTGACAATGTATTTTACTTTGTAACAGTTTGCATTTTTCTGTTAACTGCAGGGTACTTCTACAGATGTGATGCTTGGAATTCCCGATATTGCTACAGTAACTATTCTGTCAAATGACAATGCTTTTGGAATTATATCTTTCAATATGGTAAGCATATTTTTCTATGAGCTTGATTGTTCAGTGTATATATGTAATGTTTATATCACAGCAAATTAGGAGCTAGACAGGGAAAGGACAGGAAAGTAGACTTGAGGAATGTCAGATCTGTTATGATCTGATTGAATCTGATTCAATTGGAAAGTTAAAATTCTGAAGGCACTGGAGCAGAAGTGTGATCTTGAAAACCGTCAGCAGCTCGCTGATATGTGAACAATGCATAGATGGAAGAACAGGGACAGCAAAGTAAAATTTGGGTTCCAAAAAAAAGACAAAAGCATGTGCATGAGTGTTAAACTGTGCGAAAATGTGATCATTTATTTCAGTGCCACAGCATTTCAGGCTAAGCACTTTTAATGACCTTTCACAAACTTGTGATGCAATGTCACAGAAGTTACATATAACCTACAGAGTTTGTTGGTATAATAAAGATATTATAAAGTGTTAATTTCTTTTTGCATTTGAATTGTACTAAAATTCAGAATAGATGCTTTGTTGTCACGCCAGCTTTTTCAACAAACATTAATGAATAGTGTTACGATTAGCGCCTGGGTGAACTCTCACAATTCGTTATGGTTCCAGACTGGAAATGCCAAGCTGTTAAACTCCTGGGTGAGGAGAGATGAATTGGCTCTCCTTCTTCATTTACCCACCTCACTGATTGTTTACAACAGAGTTAATTTAAAAGCTAATCCTTTCCATTGTGGATATTTTTCTCCCAGGCACAATAAACCTGTTTTAGAATAAAGACAATTTAACCAGGTTTTTAAAATTAACAGTAAGAGTGAGTTTATTGATTACTGCACAAAAGCAGCACAGATGCACCACAGACTAGAAATAAGAGGTGGTTTGAAAAAAAAATCAAAGTTTTTAAAAACAGAGATGTACAAGTCAATTTATGAATTGTTTAGGATGAGTGGATTTTTTTATTTACTCATGAGATGTGGGTGTCATTGGCTGGGCCAGCAATTATTGCCCGTTTCTAATTGCCCATGAGAAGATGGCAATGAGCTTGCTGCAGTCCATTTTGAGTAGGTAATCCACAATGCCTTTAGAGAGCGAATTCCAGGATTTTGACCCAGCGATACTTAAGGAATGGCAATATATTTCCAAGTCAGGATGGCGAGCGGTTTGGAGGGGAACTTGCTGATGATGGTATTTCTATGATTCTGTTGCCCTTATCCTTCTATAAATCCTTAAAAATTGGAACAGGAATATGCATTTGGCCCCTTGACCTACTCTGTCATTTAATAGGATCGAGGCTGATCTGGCATTCCTCATGTCCACTTTGCTGCTCCTTTACCATAACCCTTGTTTCCCCTACTGATCAAGAGTCTATTTATCTCAGCATTAAATATACACAAGGACTCTCACAGCTCTTTATGGCAACCAAGTCCAGTGACATTCAACCCTCTGAGAGAAAAAAATTATCCTCATCTCATTCTTAAGCTGGTCCTTCTTAATTCTGAGACTATTCCATCTAGTTTTAGACTCTCCCATGAGGGAAAACATCCTACAAGCATTTACCCTGGAAAGCCCCTTAAGAATCCAACATGTTTCAATAGGTCACCTCTCATTCTTCTAAACTGCCGTGAGTAGAATCCCAACCTGGTTCACTTCTTGCTTGCATGACAATCCCTGCATACTGGGATCATCCTGGTGAACCTTCTGTGAACTGCTTCCAATGAAATGAACTCTTTCCTTAAATAAGAGGACCAAAATTTCTGTCAGTAGTCGAGTTGTGGTCTCACCAGGATGTTGTACAGTTCAGTAAGACTTCCCTACTCTTATACTCCAACCCTTTGAAATAAGGGCCAACATTCCATTAGCCTTCCTGGTTATCTGCTGCATCTATGTGCTTGCTTTTTGTGTTTCATGCACAAGTACCCCCAAGTCCCTTTGTGTTGCAGCTTTCTGCCGTTTTTCACCATTTGAATAATACTCTCTTCTTTTGTTCTCTTTTCCAAATTGAAGAATTTCACTTTTTCCCACATCATACTCCATTTGTTGCCTATTTGCCCACTTACTTAACTTGATTGCCTTTTTTTTGAAGAAGTAACAAAGAGGATTGATGAAGGTGGAGCGGTAGATGTGATCCAAATGGACTTCAGTAAGGTATTCGACAAGGTTTCTCATGGTAGACTGGTTAGCAAGGTTAGATCACATGGAATACAGAGAGAACTAGCTATTTGGATACAGAACTGGCTCAAAGGTAGAAGAGGGTGGTGGTAGAGGGATGCTTTTCAGACTGGAGGCCTGTGACCAGCAGTGTGCCACAGAGATTGGTGCTGGGTCCATTGCTTTTCGCTATTTATATAAATGATTTGGATGTGAACCTAGGAGGTATGGTTAGTAAGTTTGCAGTTGACACCAAAATTGGAAGTGTAGTGGATAGCGAAGATTACCTCAGTGTACAACGGGATCTTGATCAGATGGGCTAATGGGCTAAGGAGTGACAGATGGAGTTTAGTTTAGATAAATGGGAGGTGCTGCAATTTGGAATGGCAAATCAGGGCAGGACTTATACACTTACTGCTAAGGTCCTGGGGAGTGTTGCTGAACAAAGCAACCTTGGAGTGCAGATTCATAGTTCCTTGAAAGTGGAGGTGCAGGTAGATGGGATAGTGAAGAAGGCAGCATTTGGTATGCTTGCCTTTATTGGTCAGTGCATTGAGTATAGGGGTTGGGAGGTCACGTTGGAGCTGAACAGGACATTGGTTAAGTATCAGTGTGGAGCTGGAGGAACACAGCAGGCCAGGCAGCATCAGAGGAGCAGGAAAGCTGACGTTTCGGGTCGGGACCCTTCTTCAGAAGAAGGTTCCTAACACGAAAAGTCAGCTTTCCTGGCCCTCTGATGCTGCCTGACCTGCTGTGTTCCTCCAGCTCCACACCATGTTAACTCAGACTCCAGCATCGGCAGTTCTTACTATCTCTACTGGTTAAACCACTATTGGAATACTGCATGAAGTTCAGTTTTCTCTGCTTTAGGAAGGATGTTGAAAGGGTTCAGAAAAGATTTACAAGGATGTTGCCAGGGTTGGAGGGTTTGAACTATAGGGAGAGGCTGAATAGACTGGGGCTATTTTCCCTGCAGCGTTGAAGGCTGAGGGCTGAGCTTATAGAGGCTTATAAAGTCATGAAGGACATGGATAAGGGTGGGGGAGTCCAAAACTAGAGCGCATACGTTTGAGGTGAGAAGGAAAGGTTTAAAAGGATCTGTGAAGAAAAATCAGAGTTTAACGGTTTGGGTCCGATGACCATTCCTTAGAAGTTTTGAGAAAGCATCACTGAACCTGAAACGTTGACTCTGATTTTTCTTCACAGATCCTGCCAGACCCACTGAGCTTTTCCAGCAGCTTCTGTTTATGTTCCTGATTTCCTGCATCCTCAGTTCTTTTGGTTTTTAAAGGTTTAAAGGGATATAAGGGGCAACGTTTTCAGGCAAAGGTTGGTGCATGTATAGAATGAGCTGCCAGAGTAAGTGGTGGAAGCTGGCATGATTGCAACATTTAAAAGGCATCTGGATGGATATATGAATAAGAAGGGTTTAGAGCGATATGGGCCAAATGCTGGCAAATGGGACTAGATTAATTTAGGATATCTCGTCAACATGGATGAGTTGGACCGAAGGGTCTGTTTCCATATTATATATCTCTGTGACTATGACTCTAATATCACTCTGTAAACCATTTGTATCCCTGTCACTACCTTTCTTTCCACCTATTTTTGTGTCATCTGCAAATTTGGCTGCAGTACATTCACTTCCTTCCTCCAAGTCATAATTATATGTTGTAAACAGTTATGGTCCCAGCACTGATCCCTGTAGAACCCCACTAGTTACAGGTCACCAACCTGAAAAAGAACCTCTTACCCTCACTTGCTGTTTCCTGTCGATGAGCCAGTTTTCTTGATGGTAGTGCCTTGGATTTGGAAGGTACTGTAAGGATCCTTGGTGAATTTCTGCAATGCATTTTGTAGATGGTACACATGGCTGTAATTGTGTGTTGGTGGTGGAAGGAGTGGATGTTTATGGAGGTAGTGCCAATCAAGCAGACTGGATTGTCCTGGATAGTGTCAAGCTTCTTGAATGTTGTTGAAGGTAATTTATTCCCAGGCAAGTGGAGACTATTTAAATGCCCACTCCTGACTTGTGCCTTTGCGATGGTAGACAGGCTTTGGGGAATCAAGAGGTAAGTTACTGCCTGAAAGACTTCCAGCCTTTACTATATTCTTGTAACCACAGTACTTAAAAGACAAGTCCTGTTCAGTTTCTGGTCAATGATACACTCAGTTGTGGATTTAGTTATGTTGATTCCACTGAATGTCAAGGGCCGATGGTTCAGTTTTGTTTTATTGGAGAGGATCATTGCCTGGCACATATCAGCTCAAACCTGGATATTATCCAAAATTTGCTGTATTGGGAGATGGACTGCTGTGGCATCTGAGGAGTTGTGAATAATGCTGAACATTGTGCAGTTTTCAGCAAACATCCACGTTTCTGACTTTATGGTGGAGCGACAGCTATTGATGAAGCATCTGAAGATGGTTGGGCCTAGGACGCTACCCTGTGTACCCTGTGGAATTGCACTAACCACAACCATCTTCCTTTATGCTAGATAAAAGCCAAAAGAACTGTGGATGCTATTAATCAGGAACAAAACCAGAAGTTGCTGGAAAAGCTCAGCTGGTCTGGCAGCATCTGTGAACAAAAATAAGATTTAATATTTCAGGTCCGGTGACCCTTCCTCAGGAACTTTAACTCCTTCCTACCAATTTTCCTGCACAAAGATAGAAACTTAATTTGTTGTTTAGTATGCTTATTGTTTTGAGATTATGTCAGATAAAAGGATATGGGACAGGGAAATCAGTAGGAAGGAGATCAGGTTGCACTAGGCTGGGAGTTCAGTTGTGGTTAAAATTTTATCATGTAAAATAATTCCTGAACTCAGTGTTGCTTCTATAATTTGAAAAGATAGAAAAAAAATCTGATGATGTGTTTATTGCTGGAATTGTAGGAAGACAGCAATGAAGAGCTGTGGGTGGTGGGGTGGGTTGGGAGTTTTTCTCAACAGACCATTAAACCCTAAGAGATAGGAATGGGAACAAGAGTAGACCATTTAGCACTTTGAGCCTGCTCTGCCATTCAGTAGGATCATGACTGATCTGACACTGCTCATGTCCACTTTCCTGACCTTTCTGTAATCCTTGATTCCCCAACTGATCAAGAATCTATCTAACTCAGTCTTAAATATACAGAAGGACCCAACCCCCACCAACTGTCTGTGACAAAGAGTACCAATGACACATATCTCTGATGGAAGATCCTCCTCACCTCAGTCATAAACTGCTGCCTCTTTATTCTGAGACTGTGCCCTCATTAATCCACAAATTAACAGTGTTGATTACCTAGGCAAATAAATGTGCAGAAAATGGATATATCACACAGTGAGAATATGTTTGAGGAATGCAGACAGAACCTTCTAGCTCTAATTATTGTTAAATCTAATCATTCTGTTGATCTTTTTGGAAAGAAGTTGAAAAGTATTTCACTTCCACTGTACTGCTACATTTTGACTTGAGAACTTTATTTATAGTAGGTGTCAACAGGTATCATAGATTTATGTCATGAGCCCATTCATGTTAATCATTGGCTCTTCAGAGAAATGGTATTGCAAAATTTAAAGCTTGAGAGGTTCTTCACCAAACTTGTCTCCCATGGAATATAATACTGTTCTGAGAACACTTCACAAATTAGATTTATTTGCCTGAGAGTTTGGTATTGTCAAGATTATGGTTCTGTTCATGCTGTTCAGGCTGGGGGTTATATTGCAGGAATAACGTTTTCTCTGTCTCTGTTTGCTCTCTCTGTTTCAGTCTTCCATAATCATAGTGAATGAGGCAAGGGGTAGAAATCAAATTGTGCCACTTAGTCTAATCAGAAAGAAAGGAACGTACGGGACTGTAACTGTATACTTTGAGGTAAGTGATATCAATTTATTTTTCTATCTCACCTTGGTTTAATGACAGAAGCTAGTTTGGATTACTGCCACTAGCTAATTAATGTAGCACCGGTCTTTTGTTGACAGCCTGGCATTTGGCTTAAGTAACCAATAATATCATGATTTCAGTTTCTGGACCTGGTGGATATGTTTTATAATGGTATTAATGCCAATGAAGTTCACCTTAGAAATACTTTTTCACAACTTTTCTTCTCCAAGTATTTTTGAATATTCTTCTGGCAGAACAACACATAATTTCTTTTCCATTGTGTCAATATTTGTCATTTTGTTGTTTTGTCAAAGTTATAACAAAGTTATAACATAAAACCTCCAGATAGAGAAAAGCTTGCATTAATATTGTGCCTTTAACATTTCCAAATGTATAAATGTATAATATGTAAATGTAACTTGGTTAAAATTTATTCTCCTGGAGTTCAGACGTGTGAGGGGGGATCTCATAGAACCTTATAAAATTCTAACAGGTCTAGACAGGGTAGATGCAGGGAGGATGATCCCGATGGTGGGTGTGTCATGAGTCTGGGTGTGTCATGGGTCAGAGTCTAGGGATTTGGGGTATACTATTTAGGATGGAGATGAGACATTTCTTCACCCAGAGAGTGGTGAGCCTGTGGAATTCATTACCACAGGAAGCAGTTGATGCCAAAACATTGAATGTATTCAAGAGGCAACTACATGTAGCACTTGAGGTGAATGGGATCAAAGGTTATGGGGAGAAAGCAGGATTAGGCTATTGAGTTGGACGATCATGAAGAATGGCGGAGCAGGCTCGAACGGCTGATTGGCCCTTTCCTGTTCCTGTCTTCTATGTTACTATGTTTATACCAATGAGGTCATGGCTAATCTGATACTCTTCAACTCCACTTTCTTGCCTTTTCCCCATTTTGTTGATTCCATTACTGATTAAAAATCTGCATTGGACTTGGCCTCTACAGCCCTCTGTTGGGAAAGAATTCCACAGATTCACTAACCTCTGAGAAAATAAATTCCTCATCTTTCTTTTAAAGTGAGGCAAATGTCTAGTGGCATTATCACTGGACTGTTAACACAGAGACCCAAGTAATGTTCTGGAGACGTTGGTTAGAATGCCACCATGGTAGATGGTGGAATTTGAATTCAATAGAGGTCAGGAATTAAGAGTCTCATGATGACCATGAATCTATTGTTGATTGTCAGAAAAACCCATCCAGCCACACCCTCATTCTGTGAATGAATAAAAAAAGTTGAGATTCTGAGATTATGGCCTAAAGTCTCGTAAGCTAATCAATTATTTTCAAAACATATGTTGAAATGTAAGTAGATATGGCGACTGATATGGAAGAACACAAGTGTTGGCTGAGGAAAGAATATTGACCAGGACACTTGGAGAACTACCTGGCATTTTTTGTAAAATAATTTTCTGGGTAGGTAATTGGGTCTTAGTTATCTAAAGTATTGAACAGATAGCATACCTAAAAGTGCAGAATGTTTCCAGCACTGCACTAAAAAATGTCAGTCCAGACTTGCTTTGGTGGGAAGGACCCCATCAGACCCAGTTTTCACCCTGGAGAGTGCAATAGCTTTGGACTTGCTGCCTTCAGAAGCAGATCGAAGGTGAATATTGGCAGTTGAGTAGCAAGGCAGACTGTTCAAAAGATCAGACCCAACTTTCTGGGATGTTGACCCATTGTTTACTTATATTTTTATCTCCCTTGACTTCAACCCACCCACTGCTCATGCCCACCTATCCCAAAAGCTTCTCATACCATCTCTGCCAACACATGGTACTTCTACGGCCATTCACCCAATATACATTCTGTATTGTACCAGTGAGCCGAATAGTAACAATAACCACGTGGAACTACTTACAAAACACTTGTAATATTCCTCTATGATATAATTGCGCAGATCTGGAATGTAGTTTGCAGGCTTACCGGCCGCAAGCTTATTCCAGGCCAGTGGAAATTGGGAGTACTGGGAATAGGGCGGAAATCCCTAAAACAGGTTCAATTCCTCTATAGTCGGAGGCATGAAAATTCGAGCTTTAGTGTCAGTGATCTGAGCCATGAGGAAAAGGCTTGAAACCATAGGCTTTTTAATTTCAGTATGAAATCTGAATTAATGTTACAGGGTAAATAAGATTGCAATTGGCATTGAAAAGCGAAATCTATTAAACTAACTTAAATTGAGAGCACAGAATAAAGGGACACCATTTCAGACTAGTTAATAAACTTCAAGGAATATATTGGGGAACTCTTCAAATTAAGTGTACAATAAAGGAATTGGCTTCTCTGAGCAGAGACAGAGAAGTCTGAAATCATGTAAGATTTAATCGATGGAAGGATTTGAGGGTCATATTAGACGAATTAATTAAAATGATCTGAATGACTTTCCTTACACGTGGTTAACTTGAGATTTTTTGAACAGAGTGCATTATCAAGCAGCATTCATTTATTTCAGGTTTTCTTTTTAAGTTAGAAACTTATTTGTTAGCAGTTTAACTAATCTATGAGCTCCAAGCTTGCCCTGAATCATTTTAGTTAAAAAAATTGTTATTTGTACTCTTTTAGTGAAGAAATAGTTGACCTCCACTCAATCCCAACTATTTTCAAAACATATGTTGAAATGTAAGAAGACCTAAAAGCTCTTCTCTTGAGGGCAAGGCTGAGGATGAGAACTCAGATGTTTGAGCAGCTGAGGGGAGCTCATTATTATTTACCAATTATAAGCCATAATGTACTTATCAATTTATATAGGGTTTTTCTTCCATGTCAAGCAATTGTTGTTGGTATCAATTAGATTTGAAGAAAAATTTAGATCTTGCACTAAGTGGTAAATATACGAATATAAATCCTCATTTTAAATGCAGAATGTGCTGATGGGCCACTTACAGGATGGTTCTGCTACCCTGTGAAATTTTTAAGCGTGTATGCCATCCTGTTCTCTGTTGTCAATTGTGATATAATCTACATGAAATATGTCACCACTTGTATAAAAACTAATAATACTCTTTGACAATCAGATTACGGCTGGTTCAAGTTCTGCAGATGAAGACATCAGTCCTGCAAGAGGCAATATCATTCTTCCTCCTGGAAGAGCAACGCTAGTTTATAACCTTTACATTATTGATGACCAGGTGAGAAACATGGTTCTAAAGAATGCAAACTGTAGACATTCTGTACTGAATGAAACACTTTTCAGCCATAGAGTTGGATGAATAAGGTCCCCAAGAATACAATAAACACATTCTTTTATGTAGTGGCAGGGGATGGTGGTGTGAGGGAGGGGTGTGGGTGTTTAGAGGGGTGTGGGGAGGTGGGAATGTGTGAGGTGGGTGTGCGGGAAGGTGATGGTTTGGCAAGGGGGGTGAGGTAGGGAGATTGAGTGAGAAGTGGTTGGAAGGGTGTGGTGATGGTGTGGTTGGAGGTATGAGGTGAGGGAGTGGAGGTGTGGGGGAGGCTTGGAGGGGATGGGTGGGGTGGAGGTGATGGGGGAGCTGGGGTAGGGTGAGGGTGGTAGAGATGTTGGATGGGGAGAGAATTACAGTCAAGCTGCTCCCATAATTTTTCTTTCATTTTAATTTCTTTAAAAAATGAAATCACATTTTAACAAATCACATTTGAGTCTCTCTGAAAACAAAGCTTGGCCACTTTCATTTCAATACAAAAGGTTTATTGGCAGAGGATTAATGCTGGTTCTAATTTTTGGAGTGCAAAGATTGAAGAGTTATTTTCTTGAAGTTAAATGGATCAGAGCAAGACAGAGTGAGTGAGAAAGGGGAGAGGTATGAAATGGGTGGTGGGGAGGGAGGAGAGAGAGAACAAGAGGATGAGATAAATGTGTGGGAGAGAGAAAAGGGAGACGAAGAGAGGAAAAGCAGGCTGAAAGTCAAATCATTCTGAAAGCCTACTTTGATCTGAATTCCACTGAGGCCATCTCCAAGTGTGACCCACCAGAGGTGATCCAAGGTCAGTGTTATTTAAACCTAACTCACTACCCGCTTCTCTGGGGATTATGAATTGGGACTGATTCTTTTTCTCATATAGCTCTGCTTCTAACCTGAAAAGGCAAAAAAGTTAGTTTTATTACTGAGCTTTGTTGGTTGACACTTCTTAATGTCTGTCTCTATTGGTTTGTTGTTTATTATTATCAATTTATTGCTTTTGAATTTTTTTGCTGAAGTTAATGTTTATGGTTGTGGCAAACTTATTTGATTGAAATTTGCTCTCTGCCTCTTGCCCCCCAACCGCTACCAACGCGAAACGTTTGGCCACCTCAGACTAAACCATTGAACACATTCTATTCTGTAATGACGGGGTAATTACAATGCTGTATGGTAATTAAGGTGGCATGTAAGGGCTTGTAAGGGCATCTCAAAAGTGTGCATCTTGACAATCGGGAGGATCAAAATCTTCTTCTGACAGAGCAACTTAATTTAAGCTTGATGGGCACTTAATTCCTGGGCTAACACTGTAGCCCTTGCCAGAGTCATTCCAAGATGTGCTGGTGTGGGAGTGTTTTGCTTTTTCTCAATGTCTGGTATTTGTAGAAAATTTAAATGAGATGTGGCACCTGAGCGCATCTCAAATGCTGATCCTCTAGTGGAGTCAATAAATGTAGAGCTGGAAAAGCAAAGCAGGCCAAACAGCATTTGAGGAGCAGGGAAGTCAATGTTTCAGGCTGAAACCCTTCGTCAGGACTGGGGAGGGGGAGGGGAGCCCAGAAATAAATAGAGGGAGGGGATGAGGCTGGACGGAGGGTAGGTAGGATGGAGATAGGTGGATGCAGGTAGGGGGTTATTGTGGTTGGTCAATGGGAAGGATGGAGTGGATAGGTGAGTTGGAAGATGGACAGGTTTGGGGTGGAGAGATTTTGAAGCTGGCCATTGGGCTGTAAGCTCCCAAGGCAAAATATCAGGTGTTTTTCCTCCAGTTTATGTTTGGCCTCTCTCTGACAGTGGAGAAGGCCAAGGATGGACATGTCAGCAGGGGAGTGGGAGGGTGAGTTAAAGTGGATGGCAACTGGAAGGTCGGGTTGGTTGGTGTGTGCAGAGCACAGATGCTCTGTGAACTGGTCCCCGAGTCTGCGTTTGGTCTCCCCAGTATAGAGGAGACCACATTGAGAGCAATGGTGACAGTAGATGAGGTTAGATGAAGTGCAGGTAGTCAGTTTTGGAAGGATTGTTTGGGGTTTGGACAGGGGTGAGGGGGAGGTGTAGGGGCAGGAACAGCACCCCCTGCAGTTGCAGGGAAAGGCACCGGGTGTGATGAAGGTGTTGTGGGGAGAGAGCATCAGACGAGGGAGTTGCAGAGTGGCTGGTCCCTGCGGAAAGTGGACAGGGGTGGGGAGGGAAAAATCTTTTAGGTGGTGGGGTCTGATTGTAGGTGGTGGAAATGTCGGAGGATAATGCATTGTAATTGGAGGTTAGTGCAGTGGTATGTTAGGACAAAGGGGACTCTATCCTTATTGTTGTTGTGGGGAGAGGGTTTGAGGGCAGAACGGTGGGAAATGGGGGAGATGCTGTTGAGAACATCCTTAATAACAGAGGAGGGGAAACTATGGTCCCTAATGTAGGAGGATATCTGGGAAATCCCAGAGTAGAACGCTGCATCCCAGGACCAGATGCGGCAGAGGAATTGGGAGTATGGAATAGCATTTTTGCAGGAGGGTGGGTAAGAGGAGGTGTAGTCAAGGTAGTTGTGTGAGTCATTAGGTTTGAAATGGATGTCAGTGGTGAGTCAGTTCCTGGAGGTGGAGACGGAGAGATCCAGGAAGGGGAGGGAGGTGTCAGAAATGGTCCAGGTGAATTTGAGGGTGGGATGGAAGGTGTTGGCGAAACTGTTCGAGCTCCTCGTGGGCGCATGAGGCAGCAATGATACTGTCATCAATGTAACGGAGAAAGAAGTGGGGGATAATGCCGCTGTAGTTGTTGAAGAGGGACTGTTCCACGAATCCTACAGAGTTTTCTCAGGCATAGCTCGGGCCCATGAAGGAGCCCATGGTCACCTCTTTGGTTTGTAGTAAGTGGGAGGAATCAAAGGAAAAATTGTTGAGGGTGAGGACCGGTGAGGACCAGTTCCGCCAAGTGAATGAGAGTGTCGGTGGAGGGGGACTGGGTGGGCCTGTGGAAGAGGATCTAGTGGATACTGTAGCTGCCCTTTTCAACCACCGATATTTCTGCATTTAAATCAAGCCTTCAATGTTTAAGACATTTCTTCTTTTCTTCCAGATTCCTGAAAATGATGAGGTTTTCACTGTGCAACTGACAGGTGTTGAAGGTGGAGCTGAAATCAATGATACACAAAACAGCTTTCAAATTAAAATCAACAAAAATGACAGTCCAGTGCGATTAGCACAAGCAATGTACGCTGTATCAGAAACAGTTGATGTGATTACTGTACCAGTCATCCGTGGGAAGGATCAAGAAGGAAAAGTAATTGGATCTGATGATGCTCTGGTTTCTATTAATTACCAGACAGTAACTGGCAACAGTTCAGCCAGTGCATTGCTACAATCCGATTTTATTGATCTCCAATCAAACAGAACTATTATTTTCCCACCGTATGTTAATGAGGTTTTTCTGAAATTTCAGATTATCAATGATACTATCCCTGAAATTGCAGAGTCATTTCAGGTTGTGTTACTTGAAGATACTATAAAGGGTGATGCTGTACTGCTTACTCCCAAGACAGTTCAGATTATTATTGAGCCAAATGACACACCTCATGGAGTTCTGTCCATCAGTAGCAGTCTTTCAACACAAAAAGTTGTTATCAGTGAAGACATGACTACAAGGTAAAGTATAACATGTTTCTGCTTAACTGTTTGTATTATGTTGTTTACTGATGATTTTTGGCTTGTAGAAACAGTTTTGCATGTTTTTCATGTTTAGTGATATCAGTCTATTCGGCGTAACCGTGATCAGTGACTTATATTTTTCTCTTAGTGTTGCATTTTTATAAATTACAAATAAAAAGCTATTGAGATTGCATGGTTGATGTGATTTAATATAATTTAGTAATCTGATATCAATACCTGATGCCATTGTTATGCATTTACTTAATTGGATCCGACTAAAAGACTGAACAATTTATCAATTTTTCTGGAAATTTCTTCAACTGCTATGTTGTTCTCATAAGTAAGCTACTTAGAATTTAGAATTATCTTAGTTCAGCTTCTATGAAGTGCAACGAGAGAATGATTCAATAGAAATGTAAAGAAAACACGGGGTGTATAAAAGGTCAGTCTTCGGAAGTTGTGGAAGGAGATGTCAAAGTGAAGATTTTTTAGGGACGGAACTATAGAAGGTAGGGTCTAGGTGACTGAAGGATAAACTACCAGTAGTGGAACTGAGGAATGGAAATGTGCTGCAGCTGAATGACAAAGGAATAGCTTGTTTTTGGCAATGAAGTGCAAGATAATATCACTGGATTAGAACTATTTAAAATATCTATGTTAAGCACAGCAAAAGATGTTTTGATGGTGACGGAAGAGGCAGCTTTTTTCGTAAGAATGACTGTCTGGGACAGTGGAGGATGAGGAGTCTGGTGGACAGGTAAGAATGGTTAGAGCCAGGAATCAAATTGAGATGAGGAACAAAGAGGCTAGTAAGTGAGGCAATTGTAATGGTGGTGATTGTGATGGAAAAGCAGAGAAGCTCAGATCTGGGGTAGATATTAAAAGCAATACCAACCAGTATGGAAGATTGTCAAAGACAGGAAGGATGGAGAGTAGTTCAGAATTAACATGGAGACACTGAGTCGTGTGCAGACATAGAAAAGTTTGAAGGCTGTTTACAGATTGAAGTTAATTTATCGTCAATCTTTCTTTATCATCTATATGAGATAAGTAAATTATTTTCACAGGGTAGTAGTTAAATCTGTATGTGGCTAATGTATTATTAGATCTAAATTGACTAAATTACATTTAAGTAACTGCTTAAGAAACTTTACAGAGAGACAGATACAAATCCAATTACTGGCACAATGTCCATCTATCCATGTAGCAATTATATCTGGGTATTCTGATTGCAGATTTGATGGAATTACCATTGTAAGAAATGGTGGAACTCATGGCAACGTTTCGGTGAACTGGCTTATTTCAAGAAACAGTAGTGATTTTTCTCCTGTCACTGCAGACCTAATGCCAATTTCAGGAACCATAAGCCTTCTGGAAGGGCAGATGCTGGCCACAGTGACCCTCACCATCATTAATGATAATTTGCCTGAGGAAGCAGAGGCTTATCTTTTTCAATTGTTGAATAATACAGTAAAGGGAGGAGCAGAATTAGATGAACCCACGCAAGTATGTTTCTGAAAACTACTCTTCAGATACTTAGTTTTCTTCAATGCACTCCTAAAAATTTATAATTCTGCTTTTCATAACATTTTGATGACTGGTAGATGTTGTAAGTCAAAAAAGAAATGGAAACAAGAATTTGCATTTATAAAGCAACTTTCACAATCTCGGGTTATCCAAGAGGACTTTACTACTCTGGAGTACTTCAGATATTCAGTCACTGTAGTAAAGAAATACCGTGAATAAATAATGTGTTTTAAAGATATTGGCTGAGGAATATATATTGGCCAGGACAGCGATAGAATTTACCTTTTTCTGTTCGAATAATGTTATAGGATCTTCCACAGCCTCTGAGGAGTCAGACGGAGCCTTGGTTTAATGCCTCATCTGAGGAATGGCACATCTGACAGTACAGTACTTCACTGGTGTGATGATCTGAATTATTTTCTTTGTGGATTGTATCTGGTTTTAAATTCAAACCTGAACATATGAACTGGATGACATATTGTATTAAATCTCTAAGTCTTTTTGTTTACATTTTCCTGGAAAAATCCATTCGAGAGCATTTTTCCCATGGGCAGAAGGCTCAACAGGCAGTTATTCATTTATTCCTAGTAACATCATCGGGCATATTACCCATCAAGAAAACCTTCCCATAACGAAGATGCATATCAGTATTGGGATATTTCTTTAAATTCTGCAAAACCGTGTTCATTTTTACAGTTATGTAGATCTGAACCTTTTCTTGAAACAACTTGTGAATATTACAAATAAAATGCAGTGTTTAAAATGATATATGCATGTAGGTTTTGCATTTGTTAAAAGCTGAGTGAGATAATTGCTGACTGAAAGACTGTCAGTTGTAGGTTGCAGTTTTGATAGTATTATAACTAATCAGTTGGATCTTTAAATTACTAGGGTAGACCAAGGATAGAAATAAGGCTGTTCACACTTTTTGTTTTTCTTTTGTTTAGATTATTTTCTATATTCAGGATAGTGATGATGTCTATGGCTTAATTAAATTCCATTCTATGGATGAACCGAAGATAGAGAGTAGTCCTGCTGGGCGGTTCCTGTCGTTGAGTTTTGCCAGACACAATGGAACATTAGGGATTGTGAAGTTAAACTTCACAGTACTGTACATCCCTGCTGGTGTTTTGGATCTTTCTACAGCAAAGGATGATATCCTTAATGTTTCTAGTAAAAACAGCATTATCTTCATGCCAGGACAATCACAGATAAGCCTCAAACTACCAATAAGAAATGACGCATTCCTTCAAAATGGAGCACGTTTCTTTGTGCAGGTATGTCAATACAGTTTATGCAATAGAGATGTAATGTTAAATTGTCGATGCAATATTGTACATCAATCACAATTTTAGATTATCTCTATCAGTGATATTGAACTCTCTTTACTGAAACATTATTCACAGTTTAGTTCCCCTTGAGACAGTGTTTGTACAGTTACTACTGATCTCATCATATTTAACTGAAATATTTTTAATGCGATCATTTTATGGCATACTTTGAAGGCAATTGTGCATCAGCTGTAACTGAACATAGGAAGGTTCTAACTGAATGTGTCTACCGTTCTTGAACTATCAAAGTTTTTTTTTGATGTTTGCAAGCAAGGAGTTCAAACTTTTCTTCTGTTTTTCAGGTAGTGCTTGCATTGTATTTGTATTGTTCTGAAGAAATGAGGTTAGGCAGATTAATTTTTCTCACAGTGGCTTTCACTACGCCTCCCTTCTGATGCCTGTGCAATTGGACACAGAGTGTCGTGAGTGTGGGACATTTCCTATTTAGCTGTGGGGTTTACTGGGTGGTCTCCCTATATGGTGAGTCCTGCTATCCACTGCTAGCTGAAACCAGAGAGGGCAGGAAAAAGTCCTTAGGTAGTTATATGGAGCCTCAGTTAGCAGGGTCCCCGTCACATACCCTTCTGCCTGATCATACAGTGTCCCCTTGTTCTGAAACTTTCTCCTAGGGTGACGAGAACCATGGGGAATGGCATTAACTTCTGCCTGATATGCGTTTAGATCGTAATATCTTGGAGCAGCAGTAGGCCATTCAGCATCCCCTAGCCTCTGTTGCCTTTCCGTAAGATCATGCTTTATCTGATTGTGGCCTCAGCACCACTTTCCTGCATGTCCCACATAATCCTGGACTCCTTGTGAAACAAAAGTTTATCTAATACAGCATCAGGTATGACCAAAGTCTCAGTCTCCTCTTCTCTGGCAAAGAGAGTTCTAAAGTCCAGTGCCCTAATTTCGTCCCTAATTTCCCTTGTAGGGCATGGTCTGGTCATCTTTCCTGCTTTCTTTTTATGTCGGTTGGGAAGGAACAGTTATTACAGTTCCTCTATGTATTCTTCACATGTTTCTCACTGCCTATCCACTGTCATCTCTTTAAGTAATGTTCCTCAATTTATCATTGCCAGCTCACACTTCATACTATCGCAGTTCCTTCCATTTAGATTTAGGACCGTAGTCATAGAACAAACTGTAAGTCTCCATCTTAATTGTGAAATTTATCATTCTTCCCCAAGGGGTGTCACACATCTAGGTTGCCAGATACCCCTTTCTTATTACACAATATCTAATCTAGGATGCCCTGGCTTGTAGTTGGTAGAATCTGCTGGTCTATAGGTAGATACATGTAAGTGAATATACCCTTCAAAAAATTCTCTGTTATTCCCAGATGTTATTTCTTTTCATTTCCTGGCCATAATAACTGGACTTCAAGATCTTGAAAGCAAGTTACGTACAGAAAATTAAAAAGATCATAAGCAAAGATGCTATGTCATCAGGCCACTGCTGAAGCGTATTTGCTTCTTCCTGTGCCCCTGAGGTCATGGAAAATTGTGTAGAAGCTACTGAGTTGCGGCTTTTTTTTAATACTGCCACAGCCATCATACTGTATGAGGTATTGCCTGGGAAATTCCTTTGTTTCTCTGCTTTTTTTTTGAGGAAGACGGAAGGGATCAATTGAGGTAAACAGCCGCAGGTTCTCTGTATCCATCTGTTGAGGGCACAGTTTGCTGCAGTAGGTCACTGAAACATTCTTCAAAGATTTTCAAGCCTATATATCATAAAAAATTGTGAATTGCCCATGTCTGCCCCTCTAAGAAAGTGCAGACATATATTTTCTGCAACATGCACATGTCTGATCCAACTGGGCAAGCTTCCAGTCAAAGGCTTCAAGTATTTTAATGTCCATGTTCCTGCGTCTCTTGGCACTCAAACTGAAGAGAAAATCCAGGCTTGTGTGTCAATTGATCTATTATTTGAGATCACTCAAGAATTCTATTATTAATACCGAGTCTGCAGAGAGAATTGGTCATTTATACCAGTAGACCGCAAATGACTGTTTGAATGTGCAATCCCATTACATAAAAAGAGAGGTCAGTATACTCTTGGCTTAAAAAGAACGAATGCTTGCCCAAAGAATTTTAATGAGAGCTCTGTCTCTAGTTCATCTGAGGGCTGAAATGTAATGGAAGTCAATAGGCAATACATTTTTAAAAAGGATACTTCTGTGAATCTCCTTTAAAAAGTATTTTCTAATTTTAAGTTTCTTTAAGTGAAAAAATGGTTTGAAATGAAGAAAATGTTCAGATTTGAAAACTAACTGCTGATAGTGCAAATTGATTTTGCATGACGAACCAAAATGTTATTCTGTTGCAAATGTACATTTATTGCTTTGAACTCTTGTTGATTTAGTTTGATTTTTACCTGGGTCATCAATGCAAGCCAGAAACTTACTTGAGAAATTTTAACTTCCAACTCACATTCATGTTGAAAGTCCATCTTCAATTGAATTTAGTTTGTTATTTTCCCTGTTGTGAGACTACTGGACAAGCCAGATCTTTATGACGATCTGCATTGATGGACCACATCTTTTAAAGAAGACAACGTATAGAAGAACAAATAAGCAGCATATTATTTAGGACTGAATTGAAACCCTAAACAGCGACCTTTGTTTTGTAAATTTGCATGAACAGACTTCAGCTATATTGACTAAATTGATATACTGAACAGTTGAGATCATGATTCTAAACAACATGTATATACAACTTAGACTGGGATATTCAGGATTAACATGAGTTAACAGATAGCCTATGGTAAAACACTGCGCTTCAATTGGTTGATACAGCCAAGGCACATCCTGTGCAGTTGCGAGTGATACTGTGCTTCATGAAATCTCTACCATTCCAAGTCTTCAGTTTCCAAGGCTGAGGCTTGGAATACCTTCAAAGCCTGTTTGACTCAGACTGACTGAATGACTGCTCGTGTCTTGGTAGTTCAATGTTTTGTTCAGAGAGACCAAGTTCCCCAGGACTCCGGTGTCAGCTTCCAGCAAATAATTATTGGCACAATTACAGCTTTTCTCAAAAAGCTAGTTTTACTGAGCTGTATGTGAATTTCTCTCATGCCGATCTTTCTCAATTGAATCAAGCAAACGCTCCTACTTCATCCCACACTCAGCTGCACTCAACGACCATTGGTTCCCATCCTTTTTCACATTTTCCTGTGACACAGATACATGAGTCCCTCGCACTTCTGGTGAGCTTTGAGAGTCTGCTAAAAGCAGTACTTTTGCTGCTTGGAGCCACTTCTTCTGCTTCGGCATTCTCCCAGCTCCAAACTGCAACTAATAACTCCTGACAACCACACAGGTAAACTAAAAACAGAGAACCTTTCTAAGCCACACATTTCCATGATAATGTAGCCTACTCTGGGCAATTTTTAACCTGACTTTTAGGGTTAAGTATCTCTGGTTTACAATTTTTTTCTTTGATTTTTCAAACTGAGTTGTAAAGTCTTTCTGAGTTCACTGAATGCTTTTAACTAATTTGGCTTTAACTCCCAAAACAAACAAACTCTCTAGATTGCTATTACTGGTAGTTTAGGCACCATGGCAGAACTTTCCCAGCCCGTGAAAGACATGTAAGTCATTTAGGAAATCAGAAAAATAAGATTGTTGATGTTGAAGGTAAGAAGTCTTCCACCCAATGTTTGAATGATGAGAATCTTGTTAGTGAGCATTGAGAGGCTGAACTGCAGGCATTTATATCTCATTATTGCTTGTTCTCATTTTATTTACGTGCATTTTGCTGTTCTCCGACACAACAGTGAGAAACTAGACGGTGACAAGTCAGATTTTTGTCCTTTGAGGGAGTGGACTCCACATTTGTGCAATGTGAAGCCCTTCATATGGCAACAGTTTTAAACAGATATGCATACTGTTCAGGTGAAAGACATCTGTTACCACATAATGTTATATGGGTACCTCATGTAATGTATTACTGTGTTGATGAAAAGTTCTGGCCACAAACAATCTTGATCATGTTATTCAGCATTGCACATTAATATTGCTAATGACTATGAAGTACAAGTAATGTCACGCAGGTTGTAAATATTCACATTTTAAGGACCCATAGCCTGAATAAGGTGTAGCAGCTGCTTATTTCACACCGTAGACCGCAAAAGACTCACGTTATTATCCCATGTGCAATGCTGCCTTTTTTGGGTATTTTGGGGGTTGGGGATGTGAGAGCGAGGTCCTTGTTGTTGCTGTATGTAGAGTCCATTGTTGTTTGTGTATCAAAAGGCTTGAACAGCAAACATATGAATCAGGGCCAGAATATGTAAAGTTTGTGTAGTGATGTTCCCCCCATGTCCCAGTGTTTGTATGACATTGTTAAAATCTTATTCATATGTGATGCAACTGCTGAATAGCCACATTTACTGAGCAGCTGCTTTGTTTCTGATATTGCCCACATAGGCTTATTGGAAATGTTGGCCATGTTGCCTTCACATCATATTTCTGGGGGGGGTCATATTTTGGCGTTCTTTCCAGTATCAAGGATTTTTCCTAATCCTTGGATTTTGTGCTCCAGACAACTGGAAGATGCATCAAGGATGATGAGGATGCATGAGAGGTGCAGTTTTTTGCTAAGAACATGATTAAGTTCATCAGACAGAACAGGACCTACAGCATCCTACAGTGCAGAAGCATCAGCTGAAGCAACACAAACAGGATTCCCTTCTGAAGCCTGTTCTTTAGAACTGAGTTGTGCAAAGTCTTCTTTCACTAACTGTAAATATTATGATGCTGTTGAGGCTAGCATCCCCTGTATAATTTCACCTGAAAATGCAGATTAACAGTTTGATCTTTCAGCGCGGTTCATGGTGTTCAATAAAAGTTAAGGTTACAAACTGTCGAAGCATTCTCAGCATCCGATGCTTCCTCATTCAGTCATGGCTCAGTTCCATGCTAGTATGAGTGCTCTGGATAGGATAGCTAGCATTCAGACAGGGTTGGAACATCACATGATTCGAAGAGCAGCTAGTCCCTCTCATTCTTGTAAATGACATTCGATGATGAAAATATATTGACAAATGTGGTAATATACTTACCATAAAGTGTCACCTGTGCCACCCAAGTGCCCAGGTATAGTCTTGGGGTCCACAGCTGGAATGGAGGAAGTTTGCCCTACAAGTGGAGACAGTTGGTCTTGGAGTTTTGTGCAGGTGCCCCTGGGAGCATTAGTGGTTAGATGGCACAAACATTGAGTGTGTCCTAGCCAGATGTAGGCTCACCACCTTTGGCATGAACTCCCATGTGGCTGGGGAGAGCAGGCAGAGTGAAGATGGAGGAACTGGACGTCTCTGGAGTGTCCTGATAGGAGAATTCTGCTGGAAGAAGGGTGTGAGCTGTTGGGTGCTTCCTCCTCGGCTAGAAGTCTACTGGCATGGCTCTATCTCCTCAAGAGGAAGGAGCACCTGGAGTGAGGTCAAGGTCCATTTTCCGCCAATCTCTTTGCCGTTGGTGCTAAGCATCAGTGTCAGATTGATGGTGAACAGGTCTGTTTGTACATCCGGCAGACGCAGACTGTTCTGGACCTGGGTCTCGTGCCAGTTTCAGTCAGACTCTCACATGCCAGAGGTACGCCTCACAACATTGACTTCCTCCAAACTTCGCATCAGTTTCTGAGAACCTCTAACAAACCTGCCTGCTGCTCCTGTGTCTTCTTTACATTAGGATGAGGTTATAAATAGCTGACACCATGGGGGTCTGTTCCTGCCTAGTGTTGAGCAGGTGCCTGGTTCTGGCAGTCCTCTGAGTGCTAGTGACCTGGGATGTTTCTTCTCTGGTCAGCTGCGGAGACTGCATTCAACAGAATGTGCTCCCAGGTGTATTCTGTTTAATATATCCATCGAGGTGTCAGTGTCTGAGCTGGTGGAGGGTGCAGGAGACAGCCTTGTTGGTGCTGCCATTGAGGGATCTGTGACATCTTTCTCAGAGGTGGAGGAGGAGATGGTGGCCTGAGGGGTTTGTCTGTTCTTGGTGGTGACTGTGCAGACAGACTGATGTCTGCAAGAAACAGGAGAGAAGGGAAATGGTAGAAATTTGGGTATGTTAAGAATGCAATCATCATGATGGAATGGGAAAGCAGTGCAGCATTTGACAATAGATTTTACTTGGTAGCTGGGACATGGAGGTTTTGACATCATTACCTGGTCATTGCCCTCTTCCTCCTCCAAGGCAAAGATTCTCTTGTAGGAAGTGAAGAGACATATGCCAGATGCCCCACCACTTGACCTGGCTCTCTCCACTCTACACATGAGATGTTTTTTTTCCCCTGTACAAAGAGAGAAAGAGAGAGAATGAGAGAGATGAAAGTGGCTGGTATAGTTGATCATGCTTTTTCAGGTGGGGACAAAATGGTGAGGTATCCTGAGTGAGTAGGCAATGCAGAAGGTACACAGGGTTAGTAGGCTGGGGGCAAATTTGCTTCTCCTTGTCCATAAACAGTGTAACAAAGACATTTTTCTACCTTTTACCTGCTGGATTTCCTGAGGTACACGAATTCCAGCTGTATATTAAGAATAAAAATGAGAAGGATTGATTAATTGATTTATCGTTATCACATGTACAAAGGTACAGAGAATAGTATTGTTTTGCATGCTATACAGGCAGATCACACAATACAAAGTGCATCAGGATAGCAGAACAGAGTGCAAAATATAGTGTTACTGCCAATTAGAAAGTGCAGAGAGAGAGAGACCAGAATTAACATTTGTGACATCCATTCAAAAGTCTGAGAACAGCAGGGAAGAAGCTGTTCTTGAATCTATTCATATGTGTATTCAAACTTTTATATCTTCCGCCCATTGGAAGGGGGTGGAAGAGAGTATAACTGGGGTTATAACTTTGATTATGTTGGTTGCGTTCCGGAGGCCGTGGGAAGTATAGATGGAGTCAATGGATGGAAGGCTGGTTTGTGTGATGGACTGGGCTGTGTTCATGATTCTGTAGTTTCTTGCGATTGTGCAAAGAGCAGCTGCCATACCATGCTGTGAAGCATCCAATTAGGATGCTTTCTGTGGTGCATTGATAAAAATTGGTAAGCGTCCTTGTGGTCATGCCGACTTCCTTAACCTTATTGTGCTTTCTTGACTGTCACGTTGACATGGACCAGGACAGATTGTTGGTGATCATCACTCCCAGGAACTTGACACTGTGAACTATCTCCACCTCAGCACCATTGATGCAGACAGGGGTGTGCCCTGCATTCTGCTTCCTGAAGTCAATGACCAGCTCCTTCATTTTGCTGGTGTTGATGGAGAGATTGTTGTCTTTACACCATGCTGCTAGGCACTCAATCTCTATCCTTTATTCTATCTTGTTGTTGTTTAAGATCCAACCTACAGCTATCGTCAGCAGCATGCAGTCATCTACACACTCAGTAATGAAATCTGTGACGGTGGTGGCATACTTGTTTAGGTTGGCTGCTGAGTTCTTCAATATGGACCAGTCCACCAACTCTAAGCAGTAGTAGCCCTTATGTTGCCTCAGACCAACACTGCTGCACTTTTTATATTGGGTCCTCTGCTTCAATTTCTGCTTGCAAGCTGGGAGGAAGAGCAAAACATTATGATCTGATTTTCCAAAATGTGGATGGGGAATGGAGCAGTAGGTATCTTTGATGGTTGTATAGCAATGATCAAGGACATTCAGACCTTTGGTGGGACAGGAGATGTGTTGATGGCATTTTGGTAGCATGTTCATGAGGTTGGCATGGTTGAAGTCACCGGCTGTGACGAACAAGGCCTCAGGGTTTTCTGTCTCAAGACTGTTTGTAGCGTTGTATACTTTGTCAAGTGCACTCTTCACTTCTGCATGGGATGGAATGTAGACTGCTATCAGGATAGTGGAGGTGAACCTGTGTGGCTAGTGGTTGGGATGGCACTTTACTGTTAGATATTCTTGGTCTGGGGAGCAGTAACTTGACAGGGTCACCACGTCTGAGAACCAGGAGGTGTTGATTAGGAGGCAGACCCCTCTGCCCCTTCCTTGGGGTCCATTTGGTGAACTGAGAAACCCTCAGGTTGTAAGGTACAGTCAGGCGTAGCAGGACTGAGCCATGTCTCTGTGAAGTAGAACACACAGCAGTCTCTCAATTCCCTTTGGAAAGTGAGTCTAGCTCTATGTTCATCCATTTTGTTCTCAATGGCTCAGATGTTTGCCAGGAATATACTAGGGAGAGGGGACATGAAACCCTGTAGTTTCAGTCTCACCTGAAGACCAGAGCATTGCCCACATTTCCTGGGTACGTGGCTGCTCCTAATCGATTCCAGGTGTCGGTGAGGGAAGTCTGCTGATCCAAGAGGTAAATGTGTGCTCTTGATGGGTTTCTGGGCACTAGAATTCATAGAATCCTTACAGTGTGAAAACAGGCCCTTCGACCCAACAAGTCCACGCCGACCCTCAGAACATCCCATCCAGACCCATCCCCCTATAATCCACCTAATCTACATATCCCTGAACACTACAGGCAATTTAGCATGGCCAATCCACCTAGCCTGCACATCTTTGGACTGTGGGAGGAAACCGGAGCACCCAGAGGAAACACACGCAAACACGGGGAGAATGTGCAAACTCCACACAGACAGTCGCCCAAGGGTGGAATCGAACCCAGGTTCCTGGCGCTGTCAGGCAGTAGTGCTAACCGCTGACCCACCATGGCTTTTTCTTAAAAAGCCTACTGCACCTGGTATTCCCAGGTGGTCTCCCATCCAAGTACTAAGCAGGCCTGAGTCTGCTTAGCTTCTGAGATGAGATGAGATTGGGTGTTTTTTTTCAGACTAGTGTGCCATAGGCCTAGTTTCAGCCTTGAGCATTCCAAGGGGTCTAGTGGCCCATTTGGTCAGGCCTTCTCAATGTCAGGTCACTGCAGGGTCAGATCTTGTTCCTGCGCTGGTTGGGCTTGGGTTCTGGGTTTCCATGAGGAAGTCAGGTTTGCCGGAAGCAGGTAGGCCCATGGTTCCCCTGGGGTTGTGATTCCAGCATTGGGAGTTGAGCCACATTGGTCATAGAATCTTTGAAGCTGAAAATAGATATGAGACAACATTGATAGTAACTCCAATAGACTTAGAATTGAGGTTAAGTGGAGCAGAATGATTATAAGTTATGTAAGAATAAAATCTGCTGCAGATAGCTAGCAAAACGTCACCACAAGCCAAAGCCATCTTTTGCTGCTCAAGGGATTCTATAACTAACCTGTCTGCTTCCCACTCTCACCCTCAATAACAGCACAAGTGGATGGGCTGAAGTGGAGTTTGAGAATTTAAAATTTCTTAGTTTCACATCAACCTTAACCTAGCCATCCTTGGAGTCCAATGAGTACCACCTCCTGTGTGATTTCCCTTCACGTTTAATATATATAGCTCCATTGGGTGTTATGTCTCTTTGATCTCAATGCACGAACTCTTCAGATTGACAAATAAAAGTCATCACAGGATGTAATTGCCTTGTTATAATTGTAGTGGCTGTAAGGTCTTGCAAAAAAATTCAACCACTTCATTGTCCTTAAGCTTCCTGTGCCTGATATTTGGAGAGCCAAATGAGACTGATAGCTTTTGTTAATACTTCCAGCTTGAAACGGTGGAGTTAGTAAACAAGGTTCCTCTTGTTACGTCAGTGAGTCCCAGGCTGGGTGAACCTCTAAACATCTCACGGACAGTTACATCTGACCTAGCAAATGGAGAGGTTGGATTTACCAGCAATGAAACGCTTCTTGTTTATGAACCGGAGAATTCTTCTGATAGTCAGGTATATATGAGCTTTAAGTTGTGGCTTCTGTCAGAAAACCTATGACTGTATATAAGTATGCATGTATAAACTACCATTCCATTAAACCTGTTTCATATGTTTAGGATGTTTAATGCATCCAAATCCGTATACAGCCTGTTTATTCAGAGCCATATGATCTTCTGGGAGGAGCAAAAAAGGAGCAAATGTGGAAGAAAATCTGTAAATATTTCTCAGCTCCTTGCATGATTTGAAAATAAATCCAGAAAATGAGGTATTAAATAGATAAATAAAATGTATTTCTTTCTGCACTGCTTTGGAGAATCTGTGTCCGCTGTCTGTGGAATACTATGAATGATACAGAGATATTTAGTTTGGATCATGTTGATTGATAAAATACGATGTCTAAAGTATAGTCAGATTCTACAACAAGTTTCATGTAGTTGTCGTGGTCTTTTGTTTCAGATATACATTGCTTTGCAACGAGATGGAACTGATGGCTCTGCAGAAGTTTACTGGCATTTGAAACCTACAGGGGTTAATCATCACAGTATCACCAATGATGACCTGAGCCCAATGAATGGGTCTGTTATATTCTTATCAGGCCAGAGCAATGCCACAATCAACATTACAATAAGAGCAGATGACTTGCCTGAAATAAATGAGACTTTGATTATCTCGTTAGACCGGTATGTCTTTTTTCCCATTAGCATTGTTTGCTTATAATTTTCAAAAACTGTGACTTTTCTCATTGAGTTATCAAATATGACAAATAGGTCGTATTAGTGATGGTTAAGCTTTGGCTTAGTGGTACCCCATTTCAGTAGGTTGTGGATTTGAGATCAAAGCATATAATCAAATGTTATATTTCATGCTGTGCTGAGTGAATTTTTTTTATTAGCTGATGGGATGTGTGTGTCACTGGCAAGGCCAGCACTACTTGCCCATCCCTATTTGCCCTTGAGAAGATGTTTTTCCTCCTTTTATTTATTTTTGTTGGTGAGCCACTGCTTTGAACCATTGTAATTCATGTGGATGTACTCAGAAATGTTGTCTTTCAGATGAGGCATTAAATGGACAACCCATTGTTGCCACCTTTGGGTGTCAAAGATCTTTAGACAATATGAGACCAAAGTAGGGATGTCAACCCAAGATCCTGACCAGTATTACTGTTTATAAACACAGTCTTTTTATTTATTTTATTGTTCTTTATGGGGCATAATGTGTAAATGGCCTGTCCTGTTTTCCGACACTATACCTGTGTGTGGCTACTTGATAACTCAGTGCAGTTCAGGGCCCTAAACATCCTATATTCAGGGTGTTATCCACCCTTGAGGTTCTGACTTCAGAAAAAGACCTAGTACTAATTAGAAAGTCAGTCCTGCAGTGTAGCAATTGATCTTTAAATCTCTTGGACAGCATCTTGAATGCCTGGCCTAGCTTTATGTGATGCTTCATTGACCGGGCCTTCCTCATCAGTAGTCTTTCAAAAAGATTTTTAAGGAGAAGAAAGTGGTTACAACTCCTCTTGGCTAGCTAGTTAACCACAGCCACAAAGGAATTTCAGTCCGCTGGCTTCAGTTTTAGACTTTTGAATTCCATTTTAAAAACAAGTAGATTGATAATTTGAGATAACAAGGTGTAGAGCTGGATGAACACAGCAGGCCAAGCAGCATCATAGGAGCAGGAAGGCTGACATTTCGGACCTAGACCCTTCTTCAGAAATGGGGGAAGGGAAGAGGGTTCTGAAATAAATAGGGAGAGAGGGGAAGGCGGACAGAAGATGGATAAAGGAGAAGATAGGTGGAGACGAGACAGACAAGGTCAAAGAGGCGGGGATGGAGCCAGTAAAGGTGAGTGTAGGTGGGGAGGTAGGGAGGAGATAGGTCAGTCCGGGGAGGACGGACAGGTCAAGGGGGCGGAATGAAGTTAGTAGGTAGGAGATGGGGGTGGGGCTTGAGGTGGGAGGAGGGGATAGGTGGGAGGTAGGACAGGTTAGGGAGGCGGGGACGTGGAGATGAAGAGGTTGAGGGAGGGTAGGAGGCCTTGGGGTGGTGTCCAGTAGGAGGGGGTGTGTTGGAGGCAGGAGAAGGGGTCAGTAGAGGGAGGGTTAGGCTCACGGTTAAAGAAGTAAGCGTGGAGACGGAGGCGGCGGAAAAACTGCTCTATGTCCAAACGTGAGGGGTATTTGTTGATGTGTGGGTGGAGGGGGACAAAGGTGAGCCCTTTACTGAGGACTGACCGTTCATCCTCAGTAAGGGGGAGGTCTGGGGGGAATGGTGAAGACCCGGCAGGGCTGAGTGTTGCTGTCGCCTCTGGAGCTGCTGGCTGTGGAGGCAGTGGGCGGAGCGACGTTGGCGTTGGCTGTGGGCGGAGTTGCGTCGGCGGTGGTGGGCGGAGTTGTGTCGGCGGTGGTGGGCGGAGTTGCGTCGGTGTCGGTGATGGGCTGTGCGGCGTCGGCTGTGGGCGGAGTTGCGTTGGCGATGGGTGGAGTTGTGTCAGCATCGGTGATGGGTGGAGCGGCGTCGGCGGTGGGCGGAGCAGGGTAGGCGGCGGAAGCAGTGGTGACGGTAGGTGCGTCTTCAGTGTCTGTGATGTTGGCCTCGGAAATGGAGGCGGTGGCATCAGCAACGATGGCGTTTGCTGTCCTGGAAGTGGTGTACCCAGCGGTGCCGGATGTGACGTCATCTGTGGGTTCTCCGACCGTGGCCTCATGAGATGCCGGCGCATTGCTGCGAGTGTGTGTTTCATGAGTCGCAGGGAGAAACGCTTCTGAAGGATCTCAATGCTCTGAATGTAGACATTGTCATGGTTGGGGCCGAATTGGGAAGGCCTGATTGCGGGGATGATCTGGTTCCGTAGGCAGATACTAAGAAAGGTGATGTGGCTGTAGTCCCTGGTTTGCTTCAGGACATGGTCGAGCAGTTTCAAGGCCGAAGAGATTACGAGAGAGTTGCAGTGGGAGAGAGATCCCCTGAGGTTTGTCCGGAGGGAGGAGGGTAACTTCTTCAGGGTAGGCATCCTTAGAAGAGGCTTCGCAGTGGGATTAAAATTGTATCAGAGATAATAGGAACTGCAGATGCTGGAGGATCTGAGATAACAAGGTGTACAGCTGGATGAACACAGCAGGCCAAGCAGCATCATAGGAGCAGAAAGGCTGACGTTTCGGGCCTAGACCTTTCTTCAGAAAGGGGGGAGGGGAAGGGGGTTCTGAAATAAATAGGGAGAGAGGGGGAGGCGGACAGAAGATGGATAGAGGAGAAGATAGGTGGAGAGGAGACAGACAGGTCAAAGAGGCGGGGATGGAGCCAGTAGAGGTGAGTGTAGGTGGGGAGGTAGGGAGGAGATAGGTCAGTCCGGGGAGGACGGACAGGTCAAGGGGGCGGAGTGAGGTTAGTAGGTAGGAGATGGGGGTGGGGCTTGAGGTGGGGGATAGACCATGTCCTGAAGCAAACCAGGTACTACAGCCACATCACCTTTCTTAGTACCTGCCTATGGAACCAGATCATCCCCAATGGACTACAATCCACATTCAGGCCTTCCCAATTTGGCCCCAACCGTGACAATGTCTACATTCAGAACATTGAGATCCTTCAGAAGCGTTTCTCCCTGCGACTCCTGAAACACACACTCTCAGCAATGCGCCGGCATCTCCGGGCACTACAATCAAGCCTACCCCAGCTCAGAGCCTCCCTCTCCCAGACCTGCAAAGGACCTCTCCTATTTTTCATTCTTTGTAGGATCCACAACCTGAACTCACAATTCTACTCAGCTTTATTGGACACTAAAAACCGTAAGTACAGTAAACTTACTGGTGCCTACCACCCAAAACGGGCTTCCTCCACCTCCCAAATCCCCAACCCTACCCAGTACCTTCCCCACAATGTGCCCGCTGCCATTGGCCATGAGGCCACTGTCGGAGAACCCACAGATGACGTCACATCCGCCACCGCTGGGTACACCACTTCCGGGACAGCGAACGCCATCGTTGCTGATGCCACTCCCTCCATTTCCGAAACCACAGACACTGAAGACGCACCTACCATCACCGCTGCTGCCGCCGCCCACCGCCGACGCCACTCCGCCCATCACCGACGCCGACACAACTCCGCCCATCGCCGACGCCACTCCGCCCATCACCGACGCCGACACAACTCTGCCCATCGCCGACACAACTCTGCCCATCGCCGACACAACTCTGCCCATTGCCGATGCAACTCCGATCACCACTGCTGACGCAACTCCACCCGCCACTGCCGACGCAACTCCTCCCACCACAGCCGACGCAACTCCGCCCACAGCCGATGCTGCACGGCTCATCACCGACGCTGACACAACTCCTCCCACCACCACCGACGCAACTCCTCCCACCACCGCCGACGCAACTCCACCCACCACCGCCGACGC